GCGAGTCTAGGAGCGACTCTAGACGAGATCTATCAGCGACTGATTGATTGTGATTTTACACGAGAAGACCCGGGATTGGCGATGTTTGTGGTCGCGCTTCTCAACGCGTTGGGACGAGAGGGTCGAGGGAATCGCCCCACGGAAGTGGTGTTGATGCTGGCCCTCTGTGAGTCCGGGATTGCCGAGAGAGTTCGAAAACGATTGATGAGATGGCGCCGAGGAGAAAAGTCCGGACACGACTTGGCTCGTGAGCCGAGACTAGGCGAGCAGAGGGATCACCGGCTAGGTGAGATGCCCCTACCTGTTCAGCCTGCGCAGCCGCTCATCGGAGCTAAGAGACTACGTGATGGGCCGGGCCCGTCACACTCAGTAGACTCTTCAACAGCTGCTCCTCCTCTCAAGAGAGTGAAGGTAACTGAGATCGAGATACAGACCTCGGAGACGATCGAGACTTTGGAGAAGAAAGAAAGGGATAAGAACGAGCTGTGTGCCAAGCTGCAGGAGTACAGGGCAATATCTCGAGAAAGGGACGAATGGAAGAAGAAGTTTGAAGACCTGCAAATAGCTTACAAGGAAGATGAGATAAAACATCTGAAGGAACTATATATGGCGAGGGTGAGTCAAGTGTCACAGGAGGTTCTAGCTACGATGAACTCTCGGAGGCATCCAGGGACACACGTCCCAGGACGAGGGCACAGGAGCTCTGCCCACCGAGAGAGCCTGAGGCTCCTCAGCAGACATCACAGTCTGCTCCCAACCCGAGAAATACGATACCGGACACTCGGACACCTATCTCGCTCCTCAGTTCCAGGAGTCGTTCAATCAGGTAGCCAGAGCAGCGAGGACCACAAGCCGGACGCTGGGTAGGGTCGTCCCTTCCCAACGCTTTGATCGTTCTTCGAGCAGCTCGGAGAAAACACCCCGATTTGTAGTACCAGCAGGGGCCGCGCATGATGGGACGATTCAGAAATCTCGCGTGGTTGATATTAGAAAGAATCTAACGGTGCGCAACCAATTCGCGCGAGTGGCCACGGAGCATCCTCGTGTTTGTTTGAATGGCATGGGCTGTAACCCCGCCATAAGCAACCAGGCAATTTCCTCAGGGAGTCGTCATTTGGTTATAGGGGACAGTTTAGTGAGGGATCTAAACGAGATCTTTGTCAACGGGCAGACTACTGTCCTATCTTTTGGAGGCGCTTCCGTGGCTCAAGTCATCAAAACGACGCAATTCCAGGGAGAGGATCACCTAGACATGTTGGTGATAATGCTCGGGACTAATGACGTTTCGGGGGCCCCTGTAACCCCAGAGGGCAAGGGCAACTGGTCTGCCTTCTGAATGAGCTGAAGGAGAAGTACAGACCCAGACTCGTGGTTCTATGCACGATACCACAGAACCCGGAGGTGGGCACGCCGGTTGCGGATTTTCTGAATGGTAACGTGACCCGGTGGAACGAGATGACTCGCAGTCTGGTACGGAGCAACCCCAGCGAGCTGCGACTCATGGATCTGGAAAACATGCTGGGCATGATCGATCACCTCACGCGCACCAGGGATGGCATACACTTCAACACCCAGTAAGGGAGGAACTGGATAAACGACGTGTTCCAGACGCAGTTGAGGGAAATGGAGCATGAATTAAGGACCTCCAGCTCACTGGCTCAGACCAGTTCGACTGGAGGAGGTAGAGTGAGGGGTGACGTGCCAGAATCACTCGCCAATTGCCTCGTGCCCCTGGCAACGGAAAAGGGTGCAGCTGCTCCCGTCGCTCTGAGCTCAGATGTGAGAGCGAGGTTGGGGACTGCCCCTCCTCCCAAACCTCAACCGTTGGAGAGCCGACTTGGCAGATCGGTTGATCAGAACCGGATTAGCTCCCAAACCGTGTCTAGGAGGAATGACACGCCCGCTACAGCAACTCCTGCTTCGACAGCAGGACAATCGGCGAGCGCCGTGCCGACAGAGGAAAATGACCCAAACAGTGTGCTGCTTTGGAACCGTCCAGATCCCAGCGGTTGGGGACAATATAAGACAGACATGTCGGCGAAGTTGAACATGAACACATTGACGTGTTGGGAGGATGCAAGGAAGATGATCGGTGGAAAGGGTCCCACAGTGTCGCGATTGTATCGAATACCGGGCGTGGATTAGCTGTTAGCGGGACAGGAACAGTTCAGCTCCGCGACTACGCTCAGGTACGTGGACCTTAATGGATTGCCTCAGGACAATACCTTTGGATACTTGAATACCCGATCTCTCACGGACGTCCGTCGGAGAGCCAGAGAACTGACATCACCTGCTAGGAAGGGTAAGTTTCTGGCATAGAATAAGCCCAACAACAAGCATCACAAGATGTACAGGTAGTTCGCTAAACCACCCGGCCAGGCGCCTGGTGAATATTCGAGAGATTATCCCCGAGTGACCTCGGTGGAAGAAGTTATGGGGGGCTGAAGGCACCAGTCGGTGACAGCCTGTTTGCCGCCTATGATCCCTTGGATATGAAGGCTGCCAAGTACCTGATAGTGGCCAGTTCGGAATACCTCTACACGCCCCGTTCTCTCCTTTGGCCCGATGTGATTTTCTTGACGGCGCCTAAATTGGACCGGGGACAGGCAGCAGGCATGATGATAAGTGTGCGAAAATTAGTCAGTATGGAGCCGCAGATGATAATGGTTGCAGGCTCGAATGATCATCTGCAGAGCAGAGCGTTGTTGTCCCGTCTGACGGATGGGTCGATCCCGAGCAATGAGGAGAGGCGATAATAGGAGAGGCGATAATGACCTTGCTCTCAGCCATGGCTGATGTAGAATCATCAGTACAACGACGCTTCACTCAGAATGTAGTGACGGTCATCTTTGTTTTGTCACCGGGGTACGCCATATTGCCAGAACCCCTTCAGTTGTGTACACGATGGTCGCAGCGATAGCAGAGGGACGATTCAGCGTGATAATACCCGCGCCAAACAGAACGGTGGACCCCAACAACTACTACCCATCCCGATCTGAGCTTCCTGCCATTTGGGCTGACATTTCTAATTCCATACAGGGATTCAAGGATTGTAGCACAACTCGGTTGGTGCTGGATGAAGTCCTGGGGTTGGAGCTGTCCAATTTCGCCAGATTATTGAAATTGAGGCCAGGGATAGATGACGATCACTTGTTAGTACAACAAGTGGCTGATGATCTCTGGTTCAGACAAATGGATCACGCGGAGAATGAGCAGGGAAGGACGGTTAGAAAAAATATGACATCGGCAGAAGAGGATCTCATGGCATTGGCTTTGCGCACGAAGCCACACACCAACGCATGGTTGTACCTGTCACCGAGATTGTGTACCTTGGGAGAAGACCCGTTCGAGCATGCACCGACGGTGATCAAAGAGATACACGCGTATCTGAAAAACTTGTTTAATGAGAGGGAGTTAGCTGGGGGCATGATGTTGCAGTTAATGCAGGACGTGAATAGGATGTCATTGGATAAGTTCCAAGCTGATATTTTGGCCACGAGGGCACAATATGAACGATCAGACGCTAACTTGGAGGGAATGGGAGTGGGATGGACGCCATCCTTCTTGTCAACATGCTACCCGAGGGCATCCCGGAACCTGATCGCGAGCTTTGTCAAGGATATCCGGAAACTGTCAATGTTAGCCTTGTATGTGACATTTGGTCACGAGAACTTCGTGAAGGGACCTGCGAATCTCTTCACCCAAGCTTTGGCAGACCTGAGATTGGACGGGCTCCTCACCCTGATCGCTATGAAGTATGGTCGGTTGGGCGATCTGCTCGTGCTATTGCGCTACCCAGAACAACTTCAGGGAACGAGTCGTGAATTCAACGCGCAGTTGGAAACCGCCTCGCTCAAAAAGATGAAGGACTGGAGGATCCTCTTGCTCAAATATCTCCTGCAACCGAACACCAGCATCACAGGAGAGGATAAGGTGGCGACGGATGCGGGTGAATAAAAACAGTACTGTGCCATGCCCTCGCTGACAGATCTGGCTGTCATGATGCGGATCGATCCGCTGGCTCTGATTCATGGACTACGGGAGCTCGTCCTTGTGGTGTAAGGACCTGTGATGTCATTTGCGTTCCCCGACGTACAAGTAAGGGCATACAGGAACTCGGTGTTGTATGTCAACCTAGTTTCGGCAGTGCACTGCTCCGTGCTGAATTTGGTGGAACAGAAGGAGCTGAGAGGATTAGCCAGCGACGATAGGCTATTCAGAAGAATAGCAGAGCCGGGTTGGGCGTTGATGGACTTAAACAACGACTTTAAGCATCGAATGGGCCGCGAGGACCTTTCCCATGTCCAGTTCAATCCGAAGCTTTGGAAACTGCGACCAGTGGTGAAGGATTCATGAGAGGCAATGAGGGTCCCACTTTGGCCAGAGGCCTACGCACACGTGAAAGAGAACCAGCAAGCGTGGCTTTCCGGGTCCAGGCAGCTGCCGGACCAATGCCCTCGATACCCACTGATAAGGAGGATGTTGTTGGGAGTCTCATCTCCTGCCATTGCCCCTCACATTGGAGCGGCTCGTGATGCAGAAGAATGCTGAAATGGAGTGGAGGGATGGAGCCGCGCTTCATCAGCTGGAACGCTGCGGCCATGCACACGTTCGATTTCACATTCCCCGATGCCTGGAGCCGAAAGAAAATCAAGGCAACCCCTTCCAGGAGACCAGAGGTCTCAGCTGAGGTGTGGAATGATGTGTATGCACCTGCAGATGATCTGTCAAGGTTGAAGTGGTCTGGAGAAGTGAAGGTAGTAATTCTGGAAGTGGCAAAAGAGAGCAGAGGAGGCACGTACATAACGGTAGATGATCTGGCGCCACATGGCGAGGAGTCGATTGAATTTCTAGTGGACGAGGAGTTGTTCTATAACACAGGGGACCTGACCGTACCGGCGCGGCCGGATTCGGGCTTGGATATGCGACAAGGCCCTTCGGGACCTAACGCAAAACTTGATGCGAATGACGACGAACTGATGGACTAGGACGATGATCACATGGAGGGAAAGGGAGAGAAGTCGTATGGAGAGGACTTAGGAGCGTTGGAGAGAGACTTGCTGGAATACCAGTTTAGTGAAGACGACGACGGGGAAGTCGATGGGAATCTATTGCTGATGACACCATCATCTTTCATGTCCCATACAAAGGAGGCACCGGCCAGCTTATCTCCAGTGGACCCATTAAGCCTGGCAATGGACTACCGGAGGAGCGACCTACAGAAACTGCTCCATGAGTCACCAAGGAGGAGGAAGATTGAGGAGAATATGAGGTTATCTTTCCTGAGCACGCTACCGGAAGAGGAGTGGGAAAGATACCAGAGTGAACTTGAACGTTAGACGGGAGTAACCTGGAACCGAGTGATCTTCATGGAGAGGACATGGGACGTGATACGCAGATACGGGACGCAGTCCATAGTGAAGGTGGGATTAAGTCCTCCAAGCGGGCGGCCAGTGGAAACGAGGGCGAGGTATGAGGCTCACACTTGAGCATACTGAAGACCTGTTCTCGGCAAAAGGAGCCCCTGATGGGGCAAGCTGTCTCAGCAGCTTCCTGTACAACACAAACTCAATGAGCAACACAGTGAGGGGCAGAAATTCTGATGACCGTTGGAATCTTCCTTCATCTGGCTTAAAGAGTGGTCTGAAGCGGGCATGGCTGACCTGCCGGAGACCTAAAATCCATAGAGGCCAATGTCACGGGGGAGGGGAAAGGGGAAGCAGACGGAGGTGCGACAAGAGAGAACCAGGGGGACTCAAAGAGGGCACAACAGAAGAGCAAGGGACGAAAAGCCGCGATGATAGCCCACCAAAAGAGCCTGAGATGGAGCAGGCCATGCTGGCAGGCCGAAAAGGAGGTACGGGTAGCAACCTGGAACGTACAGGCCATGAGCGTGAATGGGAATCAGTCAAAGCTGAAAACGTTGGTCAAAAGAAGCAAGGAAAACGGATGGAAAGTGGTGATGGTGACAGACAGCAATGCAGAATGCAACGGACACTTGGAAATCGACGACTGGACATTCATTCATGGCCGGAAGACAGGCATTTTGCTCAACCCCGAATGGTCGACGAGATGGCGATTAGACGGAAGCACGTGCAGCCACTCAAACCGAATTAGCAATGTCACATTTGGAGATTGGACCATAGTATCTGCGTACGCACCGACGTCACTGAGGAGGGATAAAGAGGAAAGACAGCTGATCTGGCAGGATCTGGAGGGTGTAGTCTCTACAGTGCCAACGAGAAGCTTCCTCTTATTAGGAGGAGACTTCAACGCGCAGATTGGCAGGAGGATACAAGAGGAAGACGAAGAGGAGAGCGCAACTGGTAGGTTTGGATTAGAGGCGGACACGCACACTGGATCGCAAATGAGAGAGTGGTTACAGTTCAACGGGTTGTGTTACTGGAACTCTTTCTTTGGCCAGAAGAAACGAGGCTCGTGGCTTCGAAGGATGAGCGGAAAGTGGTACGAATTGGACGGCTTTGTGGGGCGCCTTTCCCAGAGAGCCAAGGTGAAGAGAGTGCGAACAAAGAGTGTCCAATTTTGCACACCGGGTACGGACCACCTGCCAAAGGAAGCGACGATAGTAACAGAGAATACAAAAAAGGTGTACAAGAAAACAGCCAGAAAGGTGAACATAGAAAAATTACATGGGCGCTGGAATGACGAGGAAGTCAAACAGAGGAGGTTTGAATTTGAGGAGGCGATGCAACATCAAATGATGGGGGAACAGCCGAAAACCTGGGAGGCAGTTGCTCAAGTTGCGCAAAAGGTAGCGGAAGAGAAACTAGGAGTGAGAGCACGTCAAGTGGATGAGCCATGGCGGGTAATGCATGAAGATGAGCTCAAATCGATGGCGGCAAAAAGACATGAATTTCTGGAAAGGATGAGAGCTGAAACGGGAGCCGAAGCAGTCCGACTTTTTGGATTGATGGGAGAAATGAAGAAGAAGATCCGGAAGAAAAAGAGACAGTGGGAAACAGAATACTGGGATACTGTGATTGAGGAATCGTTACAGGCCTCACGCAGAGGAGACTTAGGAGCAATGTACAGCATTCTCAATAGGCTGGGCTCTAGGTCGGCCAGTAGAGCACCACAGTCGACTAACACTAACCTATTTATGCCAGAGCAATGCAAGCAGCACTATGATAAAATCAGTGCAACGCGGGAAGAAGTGAGCAGAGATGCGATAGACCGCGTGTCCAGGGCATGGGACGAAGCTTGGGCCGACTACTTGGATGAGGTACCAGGATATCAAGAGATTGAAACAGCAATAGTCAACACCAAGAACAAGGCGGGTGGGAAAGACAATGTCAGGATTGAGTATATTAAGTATGGAGGTCAGGCCATTGTGGAAGCCACGATACAATTGGTAAAACAGATATGGACTAAGCCTGCGGAACAGTGGGAAAACCTAGTGAAAGTCGGGATTCAATGCTTTCTTTATAAGGGCAAAGGAGACCGAGCGAGCCTAGACAGCTACCGAGGCGTAGTACTCCTACCAATGTTATCAAGGATTGTGGCCAGAATTTGCGCGAGCAGGCTGGGCAAATGAGCAGAAGGAACAAACATTCTGTCTGCAACACAATTTGGCTTCCGGAGAGGAATGGGAACTGAAGATGCAATCCATATTATACGCAGAGTGTTCGAGGAATGCCATGAGCGGAACCACGAAATACAAGATGAGGAGGAAACCCCAATGGCAGGATTAATGGACCTAAGAAAGGCTTACCCATCGATACAGCGCGACGCAATGTGGGAAATTATGGAAAGGAAGGGAATGCGAAAAAATGGCGACATGCTCCGGACACTGAAAGGCTTACACGAACACACAGAGTACGCCTGTCGAGTGGGCAACCAGCTCTCCGAGCAGTATCGTCCGAAACGGGGACTAAGGGAAGGGTGTCCGTCGTCGCCCATTTGTTTGAATATATTCCACGACCAGAGTGTTAGACACATGCGAGAACAAAGGCAGAGAAATGCCGTGGAAAACAACCTTGGGGCGGTTGGACTCAAATGGAAATGGAGGAAAAAGACCAGAGTCACATACCAACAAAAGACCAAGAGAAACGCTCATGAAACACTGGAGACAACAATAGACAACATCCTATTTGCCGATGATACAACGATGATTGGATCGAGGAAAGAGCTGCAGGTTGGCGGCGGGATGGAGACAGTGACAAGAGCATTAACTGATTTCCAGCAAAAAGAGAATGAGGATAAGCGGAAATGGATCGAGCTAGGGCGACCAAATAACGTGCGGTTCCTGGGGACATGGCTCGACCTCGACGAAGACATGAAACAAAGGATAAAAAGAGGGTACGGAGCTTGGGCCAAAATGAGGAATAAGCTGGCCAAGTCGCGAATTTTGCACCGGAAACAAGCCCAAATCGTCCGAGCTACGGTCATGACCACGATGCTGTACGCCTGTAAGTCCAGACCATGGCGGGAGTACGAGTATTCAAGGATCCAATCAGTCATGGATCGATGCTACAGATACATCGTCGGTCAAAACCTGCGGAGAATGGCAGATGAGAGAAAGAACATGTTCGATATAAGAAAGAGCCTGGGGGTGGCAAGAGTTAAACGAGAAATCGAGAAACAATGTATGGAGTGGTGCGGACATGTGATGAGGATGGCGGACTCAAACCTCGTTAAACAGACAGTGAAGGGATGGCTAGACAACAAGACGTTGAAACTCGGGAAAATAGGGGCCAAACCGACACTACAACGATTCTGGAAAAGGAAACTCCCAGAAATGGAAGTGGACGCGGAGTATCTTGAGGTGATAGCCGGTGACAGGACAGAGTGGAGGAGGAAGATAAGAGACCGATATGAAAAGGGGTGCCTGGAAGATGACAGCAAGTCGAATGAAGAAAGGCGTAATCAGGAGCAAATCCTGGAAGGGGCAGAGACAAGACCACCGGAAGTTGTCGGGAACCGCGATGGGGCTTCTCAACAAATGCACTGCTGCGGACTCTGCCAGAAATCTGGTTTTGCGACGAGAAGAGCGCTGATGGTTCACAACCAGCTACAACATCAGCAACAAAGGGAACACCTCGGAGGATACGAATGCCAGAAAGGTTGTAAGAAAATGATCAAAACCCCACAGGCAAGAGGTATACACGAACGAACGTGTCTAGGGGATGAAGCGGCTACAAAAGCCGAGTATCGCAGGAAAAGAAATGAAAGTCGGCGCCGGGAGAGAGAGTTAAGAAACCCTGCTCAGTTTTTCTGTGACATATGTCAAGAAGGGTTCGCGACAAAAGCCGGTCTTTCCTCGCACATGAGGTTTCATCAAAGAGTGGAAGCACCATTACCGAGAGAACCGAGAACCACATGTTTAAAAAGGATTCCACATCGAGATGAGAACGGAGAGTGCTTTTACCAGTGTCGGAAAGGCTGTGGAAAGACGTCACGAAAAGCAGGCTCAATCGCCAGGCATGAAAATTCACGTGAACCTCAACCACAAAGGGAAACAGAAGTGATTGAAGCTCCCACACCGGAACTGCTAAACGAAGGGGACCAACAAGGTACATCTCAGTCGGTGCCAGACAGAGAAGATCAAATGAGCCGAACGGAGGGGGAAGCGACATTTGTAGGAAACCAGTGCGACCGCTGTACCTTTGTGGCAAAAACAAAGTGCGGACTGGGGTCACATAACCGATGCCACCTAAGGAAGGACGCTGCGGTCAGACTAGGGGGTACAGGAGTGGAATCAACATCTTTGTCGGTTCCAGACGAAAGGGACCAACCCGGAACATCTCGAACGGTGAGCCAAACGGAACGTGAGGAGCCAGGGCTAGGGTATAAATGCGAGCGCTGTACGTTTGTTGCAAAAACGAAGGGTGGACTTGGATCACATAATCGGAGCCACCTGAGGAAGGACGCGGCGATCAGACCACCAGAGGGTAGGGTGGAATCAGGGACGACAGTGGAGTTGGAGGTACCGGGGAGCGAAACCAGGGGAGGGTACCCCTGCGACCGATGCAGCCTTGTTGCAAGGACGGCAGCGGGGTTAAGCTCGCATAGACGGAGTCACGAGAGGGCGGATTTGAGGAATCGAGGAAGACGATACGAAACTGAGGAACGGAGGGAGAACGAGCAGGAACTACCGGAAGCAAGGGTGGAACCAGAGACGAAGACGGCGGAGCTGGAGGTAGGGCAAGGAACGCCAACAGGTTTTCCCTGCGATCGATGCAGCCTTGTCGCAAAATCAGGAGCTGGGTTAAGCTCACACAAACGGAGCAGCCACTTAAGAAAGGAAGAGATGAATCGGAGACGGACTGGGGGGGGGGGGGGGGCGAACACCTGACCCCGATGGAGCCCCCTGTTTTTCCTTCAGAAGGAACTTTTATCCCCTAACCCCAGTGACGGGCATGGGCCTCTTTTGGCTCGCAACGCCCAACAGAACAGAGTCGATGGGAATCTATTGCTGATGACACCATCATCTTTCATGTCCCATACAAAGGAGGCACCGGCCAGCTTATCTCCAGTGGACCCATTAAGCCTGGCAATGGACTACCGGAGGAGGGACCTACAGAAACTGCTCCATGAGTCACCAAGGAGGAGGAAGATTGAGGAGAATATGAGGTTATCTTTCCTGAGCACGCTACCGGAAGAGGAGTGGGAAAGATACCAGAGTGAACTTGAACGTTAGACGGGAGCAACCTGGAACTGAGTGATCTTCATGGAGAGGACATGGGACGTGATACGCAGATACGGGACGCAGTCCATAGTGAAGGTGGGATTAAACCAACCCATCATGCGCGAGGTTCTAGAGAAAATATTGAAAATATTAAATATAGAGAAATATTGAAATCTGATGTTCTGACCGAGTCAGTTACAGAGGACAGTGCCGATGATCAGCAGATCACGAGAAAATTACCCGTCAGACGAGCTAAAAAATGGCTGAAGCGGTTAAAGGGAAAGACAGTAAGCCGAGCCGTGAATCAGAAAGTGGTGAAGTCAAAAGCCAGCACAATGGTGGCCTCTTTGACAGGAGTAGCTCATTCAGGCGAAAGTGGGCAAGGAGATGGTCCGATGCTGGCCGGGGGAGAAAAAGAGAACCTGATACCCCCTATGCTATTGGCAGGTTTGACCACAACGGCCACGAGGTCAAAGAAAAATGCACAGACTCTGGCGGATACTAAGCTGGAAATGGAGGTCATCAGTCAGTGTGGATCTGGAGGACTTGATGATTACAAGCCCTCGCGAACCAACATGGCCCGGATGAAGCTGGAGGGACAACTCGACGTGGTCGAGTATAGTCGAATCACTGTGCCAGACTCAGTCTAGGTGGGGGATCCGGCAGGGGTTACGTGGAGATGCTGAAGGCGAGGAATTCCGCGAGAGGGCACCTGATGGCTTAGAACGAGAAGCAAGCCATGCAGGAGTATCTAAAGGAGCTGATGGAGAACTCCAACTTGAGCAGGAAAGAATACGGCACGGTGATGTCCTCGGAGGCAAACGAAATCGGCCTGGAAAAACAGCTAGAGATCTCTTGGAGGGCGGCCCCCCAAAGATACTTTGACGAGACGATGCATGGGCCGGCGACGGTGGCAACATACCTAGCTTGTCCATGTACCAGAACTGACTTGCAGGTACGATTGGCCTGGTGTTTGATGGGAATTAAGAAGGCGGAATATGAAGCCAACAACTACTCGAAATCAAAGGAACAGGAACTGGAATTGATGGAAGCCCTGCCAATGTTGATTTCTAGAGACCATTCTGCGATAGCCTGGGATAAGCGTAAGGAAGCCCTTTGCTTCGTAAGGTTCGTGGTGGATCGTATCCCCACTCCTGTATTGGGAGAATGCATAAAAACCATTCGGCAAGGGGGAGTTGATGGTGAACGAAACTTCCTGAGGGCACTCCTGGAGCTATATCGGGACATGCCGCTGGCCATACCAAACAAGGAGTCGAACGATATGGAGAGCTATCGCAGGTTGGAAGAAGTGAGAAGGTATTCCAACAAAGAGTTGAAAGTGAGCCGGGAATTAATTGAAGCAGTCAGGGGACAGGAAGACTATGCAACATTGGGGAAGTTGAAGTCGTTCCAATATGTGTCTGGCATACCGGGGATGGCATATAATCCCTTCGTGAATGAGGAAGCCAGGGAAGCATACTTCGACTATGAATAAGTTATAGTACTCGATTTCTGGGTAGAGCGAGTCAAGGAAACTGGCATGTTGATGGTGGAACAACCCAAGCTGGGAATTGTTTTGGAAAAACAAGTGGTCGAACTCTCGGTCCCCCAAGTTTTGATTGTGGTTCTTGGGACGGTCCCTTGAAGACCAGCTTAGTAACCATGTGGGAACTCATGAAGCCTTCTTGGTGTCCACATCCAAACGCCGGTTTAATCTGGGATATGACGGCGGATATTACGTTGGAATTGGATGATGACGCGAATTTGCACGATCTGGCAATGATACACCATCTGCGGGCCATAGGAGTAACGAAGCAGAAGAACAACCCATCCACGGAATCATCCGAGGGAAGTCCATCGAGTGACATGCTGACACAGGGCACCTGTGTAGCTCACAAAAGTAGAAT